CTTGTCATGTAGGCAGGAAAGTCCCTTCTTACTATGTGGATGGTCAGGGTGTGAAAAGATTTCTTTTCTCACCACTGTGGCAGTGAAGGTTAGGGGAGTCCCTTTTCACTCCTTTATTTAATTTTTATTTAATTAATTAATTAATTAATTTTTTTTGAGACAAAGTCTTGTTCTGTCGCCAGGCGCCAGGCTGGAGTGCAGTGGTGCAATCTCGGCTCACTGCAACCTCCGCCTCCCAGGTTCGAGCAATTCTCCTGCCTCAGCCTCCCGAGTAGCTGGGACTACAGGCACGGGCCACCATGTCCGGATAATTTTTGTATTTTTAGTAGAGATGGGGTTTCACCATGTTGGCTAGGATGGTCTTGATCTCTTGACCTCGTGATCCGCCCGCCTTGGCCTCCCAAAGTGCTGGGATTACAGGTGTGAGCCACCGTACCCGGCCTATTTTTATTTTTATTTTTTTGAGACAGAGTTTTGCTCTTGTTGTTCAGGCTGGAGTGCAATGGCGAGGTCTCGGCTCACTGCAACCTCCGCCTCCTGGGTTCAAGCCTCCCGAGTAGCTGGGATTACAGGTGCCCGCCACCGTGTCTGGATAATTTTTCTATTTGTAGTAGAGATGGAGTTTTACCAAGTTGGCCAGGCTGGTCTTGAACTCCTGATGTGGTCTGCCCACCTGGGCCTCCCAAAGTGCTGGGATTACAGGTGTAGGCCACCGCGCCCAGCCCGCTCTGTAATACCGATACGGAAAAGAAAGCAAGCCTGGGAAAAGTCACTTCTGGGCAATGTAGTGCAGAGCTTGATGGCACTGGAGACAGACTCTTCTTGCTATCTGTTTTGTGCCTCTGGAGGTGAGAGGGCTGGTCTATTAAAGTGCATATTTCACTTTAAACTGACCCTTTTCATCTTGTGCTGTTTCCCACTTACCCCATATATCTTTTAAAATTGAAATATCAACACTTCCCTGGGTTCTTCCTCCTATATCTTCCTCTTATTCGCCATTAATCTTCATTTGTGTTTGCAGGATGTGCCAGTAATGTGGAAACAATCTGATTTCTAGCTAAGGGAGGATTTGAGAAATTATAACACCCAGGAAAGTCACAACCTTCACCCTTGTGGAGCCTGCTGCCTTGTGGGCAGAAGCGAGTGTGTGGGCACAGGTGTGAGGGAGGAGAAGCCCTGGGCCCTTGGGCAGCCACGTGACTTACGAAAGAAGACGCAGAGTTGACGATTGGATTTAAAGTGTTTGTGCCAGCCGGGTGCAGTGGCTCATGCCTGTAATCCCAGCACTTTGGGAGGGCTGAGGTGGGTGGATTACATGAGGTCAGGAGTTCAAGACCAGCCTGGCCAACGTGGTGAAACACTGTCTTTACTAAAAATACAAAAGTTAACTGGGCGTGGTGGTGTGTGCATGTAGTCCCAGTTCTCGGGAGGCCAAAGCAGGAAAATCGCTTCAACCCAGGAGGCAGAGGTTGCAGTGAGCTGAGATGGCACCACTGCACTCCAGCCTGGACAACAGAGTGAAACTCTGTCTCGGGGGGGAAAAAAAGCAGTTGTTCTCAATCTTGACAGCATATAAGAAAGCTTTGTGGAATCTTTTTTTTTTTTTTTTTTTTTTTTTTTTTTTTTGGTTTTTTTTTTTTTTTTTTTTTTTTTTTTTTTTAGACGGAGTTTTGCTCTTGTTACCCAGGCTGGAGTGCAATGGCGCGATCTCGGCTCACCGCAACCTCCGCCTCCTGGGTTCAGGCAATTCTCCTGCCTCAGCCTCCTGAGTAACTGGGATTACAGGCATGCGCCACCATGCCCAGCTAATTTTTTGTATTTTTAGTAGAGACGGGGTTTCACCTTGTTGACCAGGATGGTCTCGATCTCTTGACCTCGTGATCCACCCGCCTCGGCCTCCCAAAGTGCTGGGATTACAGGCGTGAGCCACCGCGCCCGGCCTGTGGAATCTTTTAAAATATACCATGCCAGGATCATACCTCCACAGATTCTGATTTCAAAATCAGTATAGAAGGGAATCTGGGCATCAGGGTTGTGTAAAGATCCATAGGTGATTTTAATGTGCAGCCTTGTTTCAGAATAGCTGACTGCTCTACTCTTCCCTCCCTTCTCTTTTTCTCCTCTTTCCCTCCTATTTTTACCCTAATCCAGTGATTCTCAACGTGAGCTGTACGTTAGAGTTACCTGGGGAAATATGGAAAATTCAGATGCCGATTCTATGTCCTGACCAATCAAATAGGAGTTTCTAAGGATGCAACTCAATATTTCGTAAGTTTCTTTCTTTTTTTCTTTTTTTTTTTTTTGAGACGAAGTCTCACTCTTGTCCTTCAGGGTGGATTGCAATGGCGTGGTCTCGGCTCACGGCAACCTCCACCTTCCATGTTCAAATGATTCTCCTGCCTCAGCCTCCTGAGTAGCTGGAATTACAGGCACCTGCCACAACACCTGACTAATTTTTGTATTTTTAGTAGAGATGAGGTTTCACTATGTTGACCAGGCTGGTCTTGAACTCTTGACCTCAGGTGATCTGCCCGCCTTGGCCTCCCAAAGTGCTGGGATTACAGGCATCAGCCACTGCACCCGGCCCATACATTTCTTTCCTTTTCTTTTTTTTTTTTTTTTTTTAAGACAAGGTCTCTTTCTGTCACCCAGGATGGAGTGCAGTGGCGTACCTTTGGCTCATAGCAGCCTCAGCCTCCAGGGCTCAAGGGATCCTCCTGCCTTAGCTTCCTGGGTAACTGGGACTACAGGCATCTACCACTGTATCCAGCTAATTTTATTTATTTTTTGTAGAGACAAAGTCTCTCTATGTTGCCCAGGCTGGTCTGGAACTCCTGGGTTCAACTGGTCCTCCCGCCTCTGCCTTTCAAAGTACTGAGATTACAAATGTGAGCCACTGTGGCTGGCTAAGCATCTGTAAGTTTCAAGACTGGTGATTCCACTGTACAGCTCAGATTGAGAGGGAGAGCTGGAGGAACTGGATACTCTGTGGCTGTCAGGGGGAGACCAAGTTAGTAAAGCAGACTGAGGGGTGGGATTAGCACAGAAACTGAAGGAAGATTGGGTACTTAGGCATTGGTGTAAATGGAGCCTTCAACATGATGTTGATGAGAAGTAATGATAATGTTTCATTCCTAATTTTAAAGAGGATACCGCCGACGTTTTCTGATAATAGGTACTATGCCTGAGAAGATCCCTTCTGTTTCCTTACTATGAGTTTGTATTATGTTGAATTTTATCAAATTCGGTTCCTGCATTTATTAAAACGGTCATATGGTTTTCTTTCTTTCTTTCTTTCTTTTTTTTTTTTGAGACAGAGTTTCACTCTTGTCACCCAGGCTAGAATACAGTGGCATGATCTCAGCTCACTGCAACCTCTGCCTCCTGGATTCAAGCGATTATTCTGCCTCAACCTCCAGAGTAGCTGGAATTACAGGTGCCTGCCACCATGCCTGGATAATTTTTGTATTTTTAGTAGAGACAGGATTTTGCCATGCTGGCCAGGCTGGTCTCAAACTCCTGACCTCAGGTGATCCACCTGCCTCAGCCTCCCAAAGTGCTGGGATTACAGACAGGCATGAGCCACCACGCCTGGCCATGGTTTTCTTTTTTAATCTGTTAATGCATTGGACCATATTATAGATTTTTCTAATATTAAACCATCCCTGCATTCCTGAGATGATAATTGCAACTTGATTACGGCATATTATTTTTTATCCATACTGTTCCAATTGGCTTTGCTAGTAATTTAAAATTTTTGCACCTTTATTTATGAATTACAAAGGCAAAAAGTTACCCCTTTTCTAATGCCTGCATGATTTTGGTCCCAGTTTTATGCTGATTGTGTAAAATGATTTGGGTGTCATATTTCCTGGAAGAAATTATGTAAGACAGATAATTTTTTTTCTTTAAAGATTGGGAGAATTTTTGCATGAAGCCATCTGAGACTGGCATTTTCATTATGGAAATACTTGAAGACATTGCTTTAACATCTTTAATAGTTATAACATTATTAAGACTTTGTATTTTTGCTGAAAGCAGCCTCTGACAGATGTATTTTTCTAGTTCCCAACCTCTTACTCCTGTATCTATTTCTAATGTTTCTCAGCCAAATTTCTTGCTATCACCACTTTCTTTTTTCAATTAACGTTTGCTCTCAACTTGCTGAAAACTAGCTTCTGTTGCTTTGAGAAGGTTGCGAATGAATGCTCATGATGCTGACTCAACAGGATTATTTTTTAGTTTTTTTTTTTTTAAACTTTATGCTTTATTTTGAGACTATTTACCAGCCACTTTTTTTCTGCAACTTTCTGCTGCTTGGTATGTTTGACAAAATCCTTTTCTGATATCCTCCTAACTCTCTGATTATATTTGAAATATCTCCTTTCTAATCCCTTTCCTCTTTCCCTCCTCGTGGTGTGAATATATTGACATTTGCAGGTTTCCATTCTTACACCCCTGCTCTTTTCATTCAACACAGTCTTCTCAGAAAATCTAATCTACTCTTACGATTTAAATTTCACCCAGGGGTACATAAGATTTTATGGAGTCTGAAGCTTATATAAATTTGGAGCTTCTCTTTAAGAAAAAAATATAAAATTAAGCACAAGTCCTCATCTTGGAAGTGAGGGACATGAAACTTAAACTTCATTAAAATTACAGTAAATGTGTCTCTGTCTACATTTCTCAAGTTGGAATATGTTTTTGACCTCTTTCCTAAAAGTTTCTTTAAGATTTGTACATGAAATTATTTATTGGAGGTATCTGTCTCACAGTAGGACTTAAGATGTCCTACATTATGGAGGTTTTAAAACACAGCTGCAAAACCATTTGAAATGCCTCCTATTGAGAAGTGGGGTTTATGCCTCTCTTTTTGAGTTGGCTTTATGACTGCTCCATTAGTAGACTATAGTGCAGGTAATATGGTACCAGGTTCAAGCCTCGAGAGTCTGATAGCTTCCACTTCGTGCGTTTTGGGGATGTTTGCTTTTGGACTTCAGACACCATGCTGTAAAAAAGTCAGAGAGCCACATGGAGAACCCACGTATAGGTGTTTGAGCAGACAGCCTGGCAGAGGTCCCAGCAGGCGGCCAGCGCCAACTTGCCAGCTGCATGAGTGAGCTATCTTGGGAGCGGAGCGTCCAGCTTTGGGTCAAGCTGCCCTCGTTGATACCACATGGAGCTGAGGTTAGATTTCCCCACTGAGCTCTGCCCAGATTGCAAGACGGTAAGATAAATATGATTGCTATTTTAAAACCTTGAGTTTCAGGGTTTGTCACGCAGCAGTAGATAGCTAGAACACATAGACACCTCAACTTGTTTCTTTCCCTATGTGTCCAATCATAATTAATGATGGTGTCGGTGACACTGTGACCCATACATTATGTGAGCATTGACTCTAACTTTTCCTGTTCCCTCATATCTAATTAATCACTAAGTTAGGTAGTTTCAGATTTTACTTCTTACATGTTTCTCTCATTTACTTCGTCTTCTCTATCTTTTTGTTAGTAGTGCCCTCTGTATCTTTTAATGTTTTGCAGGAGACTCGTATTTTTCCAGTGTCTGTCTGCCCTGCTCAAAGTTGGTTTCCTGCACTGCCACAAAAATGTCCATGAAATAAATTCTAACTATGCTACCTCTCTGCTTAAATCTCTTCAATGAAATAGACATAAAATAGTTAAAAATAGGTCGGGCACGGTGGCTCCTGCCTGTAATCCCAGCACTTTGGGAGGCCGAGGCAGGTGGATCACCTCAGGTCAGGAGTTTGGGACCAGCCTCGCCAACATGGTGAAACCCCATCTCTATTAAAAATAAAAAAAAAATTAGTGGGGCGTGGTGGTGCATGCCTATAATCCCAGCTACTCGGAAGGCTGAAGCAGGAGAATTGCTTGACCCTGGGAGGCAGAGGTTGCAGTGAGTTGAGATCGCACCATTGCACTCCAGCCTGAGCAACAGAGTGAGACTCCATCTCAAGAAAAAAAAAAGTTAAAGATATCATGCAGTTAACACATTTCTCAGCCGAAGAAAGACCTGAGTTTGCCCATTTGAATATTGCAACACTAACACAAAGGTACATTGTTACACGGTTTCCTAGAGGCATCCTAACCTTCTTTTCACGCTCATCCCAGCCCCATTAAACAACCACAGCAATTGACAACATTTTGCCTACAAAGGATTGAAATGCAAACTGCTTTGGATTTCAAATATATCAGTGGTAAAAAATAATTTAAAAAAAACCCCCACAATAGAATTATGTCTGTGGGATTTGAGAAGGTATAGTTAGCGAATATTTTTCTTCAGTATTATTTGTAGTCTTTTTCCTGTCTGCAATGGAACTTTCTATGCCTAGTTACATCATGAGATTAGATAGAATTGTATAGCTATTATACTATTTCAGTGATAAATATGGTAACATTACCTAATACTTTTAAAATGTCGAGTAGTTCAGCAACAGTATATAAATTAACTTCTAAAAGGATGCCCAAGGGGACGAAGTGACATTTTAAAATCTTGTTTAAATGAAAAAAGAAATATTTTCAACTTCCACACATCTAATTTAACAAACAATTTTTGGAGCATAATGTGGAAATGTCTGAGGTAATTTATTTTTGTCATAGTAATGATACTTGAATTTGAATATCTTATAGCCAAAATTCATACTCTTGATATTTAGAAGATACAAATATTGATGAGAATGTTGTACAGTATTTTCCTTTAAAAATTCCCATTATTCCTTGCTATTTTTTAGATCAGGAAAATGTTAGATTACATTCTTAAATTGTTTCAAAGTACAACAAAGAATTGGTTTCTGTTTGACATCAATCGGCACTTCTTTCTGTTTTCAGGGTACCTTGGGTCTGAATTATAGCAAATCAGCAGGGACGGATGTGGAGATTTCGAATGTCCCTTAAATCAACAGGGACAGATGTGGAGATTTCGAATGTAATAACATTAATAAGTCAACATTGAATAAAGAATTTAATACTTCGAGTACAGAGTAACAGATATGTATGGTACCAATGACTTTTTCAGAATCACCTTTTTACTGCAGGAGTATCTGGGTATTACGTGTTCAGTGCTTGCAAGTAATTACAGTGCTGAAGTGATTCTTATTTAGGCTGAGATTTTAGCCTTTTAACTTTTTTCACAGGTGGTTGCCATAGAACAGGTTATGTTCGTACATGTTTATGTGTCACTGGATGACATAATTCTAACTCAGATTCCACGTCAAAATGGTTATTTTATCCAGAAGTAATTTTTCACGTAACCTGGTAACAAGTTTCAAGGCAAGAGCAAAGGAAGGCAGGTATGTTTGCTTCTCGTGGTAAAGGGTGTTTTATGTAAAGGGTCATAGAGTAGACCTTACCTTTCACCTTTATTTTCTGTTTTAAAAGTCTTCCTCTTCATAGGTCTAGGAGAAAGAGAGAGAAAAAAAGAACGAGTTGTTTCTTACTGCACACCCTTTGAAAAAGCGTGGGTGGTTGCGACAGATACTGTATGGTTTCCTAAGGACTCAAGGTACTAGACTTTAGTAAGTTTGATTGATGTAGAACTTAGTGTTTTTCTCCCTTGAACACATGAGAAGGACAGAAGGGCTCAAAGAACTGTGCCCAGTGTCAAATCATCCTGTTGTTAGGTGTTGGGTTGAAATGGCAGGAAGGGCTAGGTCGTCAGCAGGCGCAGCTCCTGAACTAGGCACCGGTCCCATTTTTTTTCCTCCCTTTTAGTTCTGAGTCATAGAAAAAGGAATCTGGGCAAGGAAGAGTGAGGCAGGACAGGTCATGCAAATAAAGGGAGATCTCATCCTTAAATTTAGTTTCAACATGATCTCAATGAGTCTACAAAGACTTATGTAACCTGAGATTTCTCATGCCTGGAGTCTGCCGAGCTGCAGTTGTGTGGCACCTGGAGAAAATCCCAAAGTTCTAATATTATTTTGGTCACTCCCCACAGTCATCTCTTCACCATCATGCGACTGAATAAAATGTGAATGCAGAAGAGTTTCCTGGATTTGTCAGCTGTGGTTCATTTTCTGTTTCCCAACAGTTTCATTCATCGTCATTATTACTTAACAGGCTCTATTTGGGTCTTGTACCGCCTAGTTACACACTAAGTATCTTATAGTGGTGTTACTTGAAGACTGTGAGGCTTGCAAAGTAGTTACATGAATCTTACCTCCTGAACCTTGCTTTATGATGTAAACAAATAGTTTACTTGGCTGTTTGTTAATATAGCCTAGGGTTATCTATGAATGCCACTGCTTTGCCAGGTTTTAAGGTTACTCTAATAACATCATCTTGGAGTTTTGGCCAAAATTACAGCCAATGACCTTGTACCAATTTATTTCTGTTAATATTGGACTTCTTGGGTCCAGAAAGTTTAAGTGACTCATTAGGAAATTTCAGAAGTTTTCACTACTACGGGGTATTCCATAAAAATATTGAATGGATCCAGTGAAATGATTAGGTAAAATCTTTGTGGTTGAAATTCTATTGATTTGAAGTTTGTAATTATTCAGAGAAGTGTTAAGCAAGTTTGTTTCATTACACTGTACTTTAAAAGAGAGACTTTTACCTAAGTTGACTGTAGCTTAGTTCTTTGCCAAGCAGCATAATAAACGAAGCTTTGGCTGAGAAAATGTAGCGCAATTGTAGGCAGTGCAATTGCAGGGTTTGGATATCCAGCTATCGTGGGTAGGAGGAGAACTGTACTTTCTATGTACCATTCTGTAACCCATTGCGACTTATTTTCCTGGCATAAAAAGGGGACTTTTAAAAAACGGTCCTAGAGGGTGCTAGGAGTGTCCTTGACTTACATCAAGGTGAAGAAGGGCAACGCAGTCTGTTCTCACCTGTGGAGTGCATACTCTGCTCCTGGTAGTAGCAGATTTACAAACATCTTTAAAACACCATTGTGGGTATAATTGGCCCCATTTTACAGATAAGAAAGAGCATTGTTGCAAAGGGCTGGGGAAGAGGTAGAATATAGAATTCCTAACTGACTGAGGAAAAACTAAATTAACTGGACATGATGAGCTGGAAGTGAGTAGATCAAATTTCCTTCCTCAAACACTAGGGGCTAGACAAAGACACAAAGATAGGTCTTTTGGGGGGAAAAGAAGATTTTGTTTTTTGCATGCCAGTAGTTGAGATTTGTGAAACTATTACCCACTACCTATCTACCTTTTTCTTTTTTTATAGACGGTCTTGCTCTGTGGTTCAGACTGGAGTGCAATGTCATGATTACAGATCACTACAGCATTGAACTGCTGGCCTCAAGCAAACCTCACATCTCAGCCTCATAAAGCACTGGGATTACAAGCGTGAGCCACTGTGCCTGGCCTTACCTATGTACCTTTATGTCATCTAGGTGGCGAGCATGTTGGTATTCATATTCAGTATTCGTTAGTGTCTACCATGTGCATAGCATTTTGCCAAATTAGGGGCTCCCATCAGTTGTTCATGATCAAATAATTTAAAGAAACTCACTTTCTGCCTCGTCTGGGAATTTATTCATGCTTTAAGAAGCAGCTCACGCCAGGCGCGGTGGCTCACGCCTGTAATGCCAGCACTTTGGGAGGCCGAGGCGGGTGGATCACGAGGTCAAGAGATCGAGACCATCCTGGTCAACATGGTGAAACCCCGTCTCTACTAAAAATACAAAACATCAGCTGGGCATGGTGGCGCGTGCCTATAATCCCAGCTACTCAGGAGGCTGAGGCAGGAGAATTGCCTGAACCCAGGAGGCGGAGGTTGCAGTGAGCCAAGATCGTGCCATTGCACTCCAGCCTGGGTAACAAGAGCGAAACTCAAAAAAAAAAAAAAGAAGCAGCTCACACTTTAGCTTCTCCTGAAGCGCTACCTGAACACATCAGTCAGACATTAATCAACCTCTGTTGTAAGTTTCTGTCTGTGATACATCTATCATAGCCTAATCCCATGGACCATGTTTATTTGTTAATATGCTTGTCCCTTTCTGCTAGACTGTGAGCCTATGAATTCCATGCCATCAAAGGTTCCTTGTCCGTCACCCATCAAATACCCCAGTGATTATGTCAGCCTGGCTCTTAGTAGCAGTTCATAAAGCTTACTTGGTACATGAATTACCGTATACCAGCAGTTCTAGGTGAAGCAGAAAGTTCTTCTCCTTTAAAGTCACTCAAAAATTTAAAAGGTATGACTGAGTTCCTGCACACTTTGTATGTATTATCTAATTTAATCTTACTGTCATTTACTTAGCTTGGTATTATTTCATTGGCCCCTTCATTTATAAAACTGCTCAGAGAGGTGGAGTAGCACACCCAGTATCACTGAACTAGTAAGTAGTTGAACAGGAGATAAAATCTTGTCTGCCTGACTCTGAAGCTGTGTTTATTACACTGAGTTACTCTGACTTCCATATATGAGGATGCCGACATCTTACTCTGTCATTATCTATTTGATTCTTTGCATTTCTTTTTTTTCTTTTTCAATCCTGTTCCTTCTCTATCTCCCTCCCTCCCTCTTCTTTTTTTGAGACAGAGTCTTGCTCTGTCACCCAGGCTGGAGTGTAGTGGCGTGATCTCGGCTCACTGCATCCTCTACCTCCCAGCAGGGTCAAGTGACTCTCCCTCCTAGTCTCCTGGGTAGCTGAGATTATAGGTGTGCACCACCACACCCGGCTAATTTTTGTATATTTGTGGAGATGGTGTTTCGCCATGTTGGCCAGACTAGTCTTGAACTCTTGACCTCAGGTGATCCACCTGCCTTGGGCTCCCAAAGTGTTGGGATTACAGACGTGAGTCACTGTGCCCAGTTAAACATTTTATTTCAACAACATATAATATTGTAGCGATCTCCCAGCCACCAAATTAATTACAGAAATACGAACTTTTCCAGATCTGGGTATACATGCCACCTGCTAGTATTTGGTTGGAGAGAACATTTCTCAGCATCTTTCCATATGGTTGTAATGAATACACTCAGCATCCACAGGTTTTCACGTATCCTGAGGAGGAGATCCCACCCAGGGGCGGAAATGTCCTTAGAGCTTGAGAGTTTGGTCAGGAGAGTCTAGGAAAATGCCCAAGGGCTACATGTATGTGACAGCCAGGCAGATCTCTGAGAGTGTTTATTCCGATAAACCTTAACCCTGAAAGCTCTGAGGTAAGTTCTCAGTGTCTCAACAGAAAGAAATATGCAGCCTGGGAGATAAACATGGAAGATAGAGTGCCCACGGGGAGAAGATATTAACCCAGGAAGACCATGCGCTCCCCTTTGGATAAAACATTCCTCCAAGGCAAAGACGAAGTCCCTTACATAAAACGATGTAGTACTTGCATATAACCTGTGCTCACACTCTCACAGACATTAAATAATCTCCAGATTAAGTATAATATCTAATACAATGTAAATGCTATGCAAGTAATTGTTATACTTTAGTGTTTTTAAAGTTTGTATTATTTTTTTGTTATAGTCTTGTTTTTTATTTTTTTAAGTATTTTCTGTCTACAGTTGGTTAAGTCTGTGGATGCAAAACCAGTGGATATGGAGGGCTAATTATATTGACAAAAAATTGATTACTCTAGATTTTAAAATTAAGGTATAGATTATGCCCAGCAAGGTTGACACAGAGGAGAAGCTTTGGAACTCAGAATACTTGCATAAAACCTAGATATCCTCTTTTAAAGAGACTCTAACAGCATAGAGGAAAAAGCAGCATGGCTTTATTTTATTTTATTTTTTTTATTTTTTAATTTTGAGATGGAGTTTCGCTCTTGTTACCCAGGCTGGAGTGCAATGGCGCGATCTCGGCTCACCGCAACCTCCGCCTCCCGGGTTCAGGCAATTCTCCTG